ATTCAATACATAGGTAGTTATGTTAGATACACCTCATAGTGAGTTTAACATATTGTTTTCTTTGTATTACATGTAACATTTTTATATTTTCATTACAGAACCAATATTCTAGTTATTTATTGAACAATTCAGGCATTCGTTTAACATATCTTTTTAGTATCTTCATGAGCAATAGTTTCTGGCTGTACTATTAATACTGTCATGCTACTTGAATTTCACTTCTAAATGGTAACATGCTATAGTAATTCATCTCAGAATGCCATACTCCTCTAAAGTTAAATTATCAGAACTGATTAATGAGTTTCATTGGCCACCAGATGTTTTTAGGAATTACTATATGACTTTTTGCTTAGTTATACACAGACTTGCAGATTTTACCTTTTTCAATGAACATTAAATCAGTGACAATTCTTGAAGCTAACACATGTAAAGTATGCTTTATTCTTACTTTAATTAACAATACTGGGTAGAAATTTCAATGGCTAATTTCATTATTTTTCATTTTTATCATTTATTATTATACTTTTATTATAGAGTGTTTTACACTCTTAGCTATATCCATTACTTAAGACTAATAAAAACTTCCTAAACTGGCTGAATCTCAAGATGTTATTGGAATTAAGGCCAGAAATATTGTTAACAGCAAGAGTATCCAACTGAAGAAATGATGCATTCTAATCTTTATAATTAAAAAAATATATTTAATTAGCTATACTCATTACCAGGTTGAATTTTAGTTTCTCTCTAAGGATGAAATTTGCTCTGATTGGAAGTTAATTACTTGTACACACATATATCTATAGAATGTATACATTATGTTCGTTTGAGTCAAATCTAAGAATAAATGGTTGGCCACATCTTTTGCCATTTATGATAAATTCTGAGAAATATTTGTCATCACCATACTTCTCTGACCATCCAATTATATTAAAAGGTTTGTATTATTTGAGAAAAAACAACAACATATAGATATCACAGACAATGAGGAAAATGAGAAGCACAAACTGATTAAGAATGTTTTTGGGAATTGAGAACAAATACAAAAAATAAAACAAAATAAACATATAAATGTGAAAAAAAGAAAATCAAATGGCTGGTTCTAACTTTCAGAAAAAAATCAGCCTTTGACTGGGAAAAGTTGACAAATTAAATTAAAAGATATAAGAAAAGATGTTGACAAAACTAGGGTAGGTGGTACTCACAAACAAATGCCTAGTAAACTAAAAGACATAAGAACTTAAGTGAAGTCTAGATATACTATTAGCTTGCAAATATGAATTAAATAATTAGTATACCTGTTGAAAAGTAAAAACACCATAATTTAAACAAACAGCCAAACATTATAATTTTCCTATACTGAAAATGTATTTCCAATAGGTACTTACCTCTACTCACAAGATTAGCTACTCTCGTTCAGTGCTGCCCTCTATATGCAAATATTTTCTTTATGCATGCCACAAGCCTTGCACTCCCCTTTGTTGGAATTAGTATATTCCAACATGTCTCTCATGCAAATCATCATGCATCATCTAATAACCAATAATAGCATAGTATGCTCATGTAATGCATGTGACTCCCTCTACTGAAGTTTAGCAGAAGGTGTGAGCACCGGAGAAGTGAGGAGGAGGTAAGCACCTATTGGAAATACATTTTCAGTATAGGAAAATTATACCTCCTCTCACAAGATGAGTTAAAATCCCATGTTGAGAAGGAGAAGGCATCAGTGCGAAGGAATAAAAGAAGCACCCCCGAAAGCATCCAAAGTGTCTCCTGACCATGAGAGAAAGAGATTTGGAGATCAGAGGAGGGGAACCACACCACTTCTGAGCCAGGTATACTCTTCACCCTTGTGTATAATTTGTAAAACATGCGAGCAGAAATTGAGAAGTGTAGAGTGGCTAGGATGCGTCGGACCACACTCAGCAAGTCATCTACATTCAAAACCTCCTCTACCAACATCTATGCAAAGGTAGGATGAGGATCACTGTCTTCACCTACAACCCAAGAATTGGGGATTAAGATCTGCTCCAATTCCTGGGTATTACACAAAAATCAACACCCTACAGCTCAATTCCAGCTCCCAAAATAGCCACATACTAAAATCAACATTAGAATAAAACTTCAAATGTCTAGATAAAATTCCTACTGTCAGACAATTTTAGTAATACTTACCCAAATCAGTTCAGTACTAGCCTATTATCACAGCAAGTGAAGTTTAATCTCTTTATCACAAATTTATAAAATAAGTTATACAATTAGATAAACTCTGATGAAAACTGAAACTTACTTCTTCTTCTTCTTCTTCAGCACTGTTTTTTTGTCTCTGTTTTTCCTGGTATTCTTCTTCTAACTTTTGCATAAGCTCACCTCGCTTGAAAAACCTTTTCTGAGAGCTCTTACAAGATAAGAAGAGAAGAAAAAACAATTATTCATTTACATTATTTTAAAAAATGACACACACAGGCAATATATATATTATATATAAAATTCAAATATAAATGCAGATATGACAGGCAGGGCCAGTGTTGTTTTTTTTAATTCAGGAAAACCTAGAGTGTGCTAAATGAATGTTTCAAACTTGAGAAGTGATTTAATTATTGACAAGAATGCACCTTTGGTGTTGGAATTTGGAAAGATTTTTTAAATTGACTACACAGATATTGCAGTTGTGGTGTAAGATAATTGACCTTAGTAATAAAAACAGCATAATCCTTAGGCTCATATATTCTATAAAACATTTAGGAGTATGAAGTATACATCGTACTGTCCTCCAGTGGCAGTTATACTAAGATTAATTACATTTGTATGTAATAACATCACAGCCAACTATAAGAATTCAATGAAAAAAATGTTTGATGTACTTTTTATTGTTTATATAAAATGTCAAGAAACATTTTGATAAGATAATAATAATTATTTATTTTATTAATTATAATTTCTCTTATAATGATTATTGTACTGTAAAAAATGCTCCTAAATTAAAATTTTTGTTTTAAACTTAAAGTAGTAGGCTTATATTTAGGATCTTTCTTGGTTCTCGTGTTAAGAACTTGTGTTATTGTTAAGATTTTCTCTTGATTTCATATGACAGACCAGTTGTGAAAATTGCCCTTTACACATTTATGAAAAACATTTTTTCATTAAAAAAATATCTTCCCATAAGTTTTAGGGACATTTTCTACTTGGCAGATAAATCACTAAGTTATCATTTTCTTAAACTGAAAATGTATTTCCAAACATACCTTCGCTGACACTAATAGCTATTTCTTGATCTTCATCTTTGCCATCTAACACTGTGTTTGCTTGCTCCAGTCTTTATATACCCCACTCAACTGCCCTCGGCAATATCTAATTTGCAAAACTTTAAGCCGGCCCTCATGCACCCTCTATGCAAGTACTGTATATAAGCATTGTATGCAGACAATAAAATCACTTTTATCACGACTTATCTCATTCGGTCACTAACACCAGCTCTTAGTGGGGAGGAAGGGAAGGAGAGTGTCAGTGGAAATACATTTTCAGTTTAGGAAAATGATAACTTCCAAAACATACATACCTCCACTGACACTAATAGCTAGAATTCCACATTGAGAAGGCAGAGGGGCCGGTGTGGACAAAGATCATACAGAATGCGTCTGAAAAGAACAGATATGTACCATGAGAAGTGGTATCAAAGTAGGGAACATCACACTACATTTGGAACAGGTATACTCTTCACCCAGAACTACAGAAAATTGAAAACAGTGGAATATAAAACAAGTATGATGGTCCAGCCCTGACCAAACAGCTGAGGTTCCACAACTCGGGTTGGATTTAAGGGGTCATGGTACCCATATCCCACATTGATGGCCAGGGTATTTGGACCACAGATGTATATATATCTTTGTGATAGGATCCTTACCAGTAACCACAGAATGATGCGTTTCAAACCACCGGATTGAAGAAAAAAAGAAATGCAACACCAACGTGGAAAATCCTTCTGATCAACCTGAATAAGCCCAAAAGGCAACATCCCAGAACTCATCCAGTCTGGATTTACAAACAGTTGTTTTTACTCCCCCCACCAAGTGGGCAAGGAGAATTCCGATTACCAATGGAATTATGGAGAGCATGTGGAACACTGTCCTACCAAGGACCAAAGATGTGACCGCGTCGCGTTCGAATTTACTAGGAAGTAGTGAACCCCCTGTATGAACAACATAAGACCTGACAGTGTTCATATGGAGGATCCAAGCACCCCCCACCAGATAACTAACAATCAAATCTGGACTGGTTTTATGAGTAGGCTCCCGCATAGGTTGGTACTGCTCCTACCAACATCTGGGAAAAAAATTCAAGGGACCAAGGTAGGAGAGTCCCCAACTTCGCCCTCTTCTCCGAGAGTAGAGGAAACTCAACACTCCGAAGGAAAATACTCTATCCACCACCCCAGTGACTGGGAACTGGGTGTGGTAAGGACTACTGAGCTCCACTTGTAGAAATAAAAGGGGGAACATAAGCATTGGGGAGTCCTGAGGAATAGGTCTCCGGAGACAGTGCAAGAGGTGAACCACGTTCTGACTTACAGTTATTTGATTTTTCTCTTCTAGGGTCCTTATTGATTTTTTTGGATCCAACTTAGTGGCGAGTGTTGCCCAGTCTTGTGTGATGGTATTTAAATTCTGCACTAGCAACCTTTATATTGGTTCCTGGTTGCAATGGGCTCAATCGAGATGAGGTGTTCCATAAGACCAACTGGACACAATTCTGAATGGTGATACCTTATTACAATATTTCTAATGGACCACTACTCATGGGCTATCATGAGTAAAGCTAAAGGGGATTTTGCCAGTCCCTGCTGATCAGTCGAGATCAATTTGCTTTTAAAATTAGGGAACGTGGTTCACCTCTTGCACTGTCTCATTACACACCTCCTTGTTAAAATCTAGTAGAGGTAGTCAACACAGCAATAGGAGGAAGACGAAATCCCATCAAAGAGGAAACTGTGTTGGGAGAAGTCCAAATACATGCCCACAAAATATCTTTTAGAGAACAATTCAAACAGGCAGCCAAAGACATCGATAGCTGTCGAGTCTAGCGAGAGGTGAAGTGGAGCATATTGCGATCGTTAACAGATAAGCCCGAATAGGCAATATGGATCAACTTCCAAGGTCATCTGGTTAAAGTAACAGGTGATAAATCCCTGGACACTGCAGTATCCCAATGAAGAAATTATTTTCCTCGAGTCTCGAAGTGGTTCCGTACGAGCCACTTTAATCTGAGAACCCAGACAGGACATAACAAAGACCAGGTCTGATCTACTATAAAGATGAGAAATGCCAGGTAAAGGTAAAGGAGAAAAAGATTTGTTTCCTTCTCTGGTATCGAGAGTTTTTAGAATAAATGATCGGTTGGGATAGAGCAAAAGATAGGTAGAATGATAGATAGTCTGCTGAGCATGAATGGCAAATAAATCAGAATGATAGTATCTGGTGCTAACAGCAATAGAAAATAAACTGTGAGGGAAATGTGATATAATGAACAGGAGACCATGGGTTCAAAGGGATGATGTGATAGAGCGTGTAAAACAATCCTAAAGTCCCAATTAGGCAGAAGGTGGCTGACAAGATGAGTCCACAGGAGAGGAAGCCCTAGTGAAAGAAGGAGCAGGAAACAGAAATTCTAAATTCTCCCCAGAATACCCCATTTCAGAATGAAAATTTCAAATCAGCATCTCCCGGAGAGATACTCCTGGGCTGCATGATGGACTCCATCTCGCCCCGATTCAGGTCACAGACAGTTTCCATGGAGAGTGGCTTCCCACCCGACTGCTGACCACCACTACATAACAAAGGAAAAATAGCGAAGGCTGAGTAGCCTCCGTGCTTGAAACTGTTACACGAGAATTCATATCCATTTTTGTGTAATATATTTGTAGGAAAAAAACAAAAAACAAATTCAATGAAATATATCTCTGGATAACAAAACAAAGAATTCACGATTATTAGAAAGTGAAAAGTAAGAAAATGTAAAATCACAAAACGTCAGTCTGAATGCTTGAGCTTTGTCGAGAAAAGGTGATTTTACTGTCTGCATACAATGCTTATATACAGTACCTGCATAGAGGGTGTGGTTGGGCCGACATAAAGGTTTGCAAATTAGATATTGCCTATGGCAGTCGAGAGGAGTATATAAAGACTGGAGCAAGTGAACACAACATTAAATGGCAGAGATGAATATCGAGAAATAGCTATTAGTGTCAGCAGATGTATGTATGTTTGGAAGGTTGGCTATGACTAAATACCACCATACAATTTCCTTTGTTTGTTTTTTAAATATGCTGTAATCTCACAGTGATCTTTTGTAAATCAAATACATTGATGATTAAATAATCATAATGTTTTATTCTCATGATAAGCGTAATAATGTTTTTACCTTAAAACATATTAAGATTACAATTACAAATAATTAAGTACCAGTAAAACAATTTCTTTATATACATTGTTTAAATAGAATAAACACAAAAATGATATTCAATATACATAGCGTGGTCACAAGTAAATAGACACCACCTTTGCAGAAAAAATGAAAATTTTCAGTAATATTCACAT